AACAGCAAAACAAATATATTGATTAATTACATACAGGCGGATGTTTTCAAGTCTTTATTTCTGTTTAATATGATGAACTTCCATTTACAACTAATTAAAATTTTATCAGACGAATAGAAAAAAACTCCAACATTCTTATTCAGAAATATTGGCTTAATGGAAACTATGAATGATTGCTTAAACAAACTCTTAACAACTAACAATTTGAAAATCGGCAATTCTTTCAGCTCTGCTATAATAAGGTAATATTAACAGCAGCTAGTAAAGTTAATACTGCTTTAAAATTTATTTTTTTCGTTTTAATTCCATTGTATTCATATGTGTTATTTTAGGTAAGCATGCTGATTGAGGGAAAAAAAAAATAATTTTTTGCAATTCTGCTTATTGTAAAATATTACCGTTTATAACGAGCTTAGAAATTTGTGAATTATTTGGGCCATCTACTCAGCTAGCCATTCTATAGTTGATGACACTTGTTTGGCAGCCTAGTTTGAAAACTGTTCTACCTTTATATAAATGATGGTCGGTGCTTCCTTTCCACATTATTTTTCTAATAATTGGAAAATATTCCAGACACCAAAATAGCTACTTCAGGTAATTGGGAATAAGTAAATTAGCCTTTAAATCATTTGACTATCAGTGTGCAACAATGTGTGTGGGAGTGGAAGCCTTGATTACTTAAGATCCCCGACCCCCCCATCACTCTGGCCGTTTTGTACCTTTTCCTGCTTTAAAAGGTTTCCAAACAATTTTTTAAGACGATTTATGGATTTGTTGTTTTAATACAGGCAGTCTTGTCAAAGCAGTGATAAAAAAACTGACTAGACTGTACAGAAACAATAACTACCGGTAAGAAAAAAAACCTCAATCTTTTTTTTTTCCATTTTTGTTTTTTTTTTATTGTCATTACGCTGTCACAAGTACAAAGCGATGAAATTTATTCTCTACATTTAAACCCCCCAATTGGGGATGCTGTGGGCTGCCATTTTGCGGCGTCCGGGGAGCAGTGTGGGGTTAAGGGTCTTTGCTCAGGGTGCGACTCAAACTCTGAACCTCTGGATTCCAAGTGCAATGCACTAACCACTAGGTCGCCACTCTGATTCTAATAGAGCTTTTCAGATGAAATTAGATTAGCTGTTATTCTGGACACAGTATGTTTTTCAGACTATTTATCCAGTCCCTCACCAGCGGTCATTCTAAGCGTACTGTGCTGTTGTGTTGCCGTGTTCCTTGTCAGTGGCATGTAACCAAGCACATATCAGGTCGCATTATTTCTGTCAAGCCTTTCACTTCTGGTGAGCAAAAGAGCAGGCTGATGGGGCGCCAGCAAGCATGGACGGATTCAGCATAAACAGGCTGACAGTGATATTAACACTGTCCTGTGTCCTCTACTGAGGCAAACCTAAGCTGCAGCCAGCTTCATGTTTGATTATTTATACAGCCAATCATTATGGTGCTCAAGAAAGTCTGTTAATGTTTGTGTGCTTCTGTCTCCCCCTGTTAGATCATCAAAAGCTGGAGAGAGAGGCAAGGATTTGTCGTCTACTAAAGCACCCCAATATCGGTGAGTGATACACATATGACACTTCCTTTTTGTTTATTGATGGGTTTTCTTGACAAATCTTCAGTCGCTTTTAATCTGCAAGGCACCGTTATCAGACAGCTAGTTTGCATAAGGGGATTGCAAATTTGGGTTTGTATTTGTTTGCTTGAGTGTCCAATGATAATGTGTACGGTATCTTCCAGAATGAAACTGTGCAGAAATGCGCACCAAGTGATACTAACATCCTACATTCTGATTACGCCACTCATAGAAGCTCTTTCTCCTCCCATGTTGTTCCTTATAACAATCTTTCAACATCGAGATATATATATTTCCGATTATTTAAATTCATTTGAATGAAATTTGTGAAACCATTGTAACAGGCAATTTAATAAAGTTTAATTAAATGCTCTTCTTAAATTTGGAAAAGTCCTCTACACTGTCATTTTAATCTCTGATAGCTAAATTGTCTGTCTTCTCTTTTTTTTATAATAATTTTTTTTTTTTTTTGTTTCTTATGTGAGCTGGCTTTTTTTTTTTTTATCTCCTCTGCAGTAAGACTTCATGACAGTATATCAGAAGAGGGTTTCCACTATCTGGTGTTTGATCTGTGAGTAAAGGACTTCTCCTGCCTATCTGTCTCACACACCAACCAGTACAGTCATATTTCATACGCCTCGTTGCTTGGGATTTAACGGTCCTTCTACATTTCTCAATATCCTGAGATAAAATTACTCACTTAACCTTAATGGCTGAATGTTTTCAGTCACACTTGACAGATTTTACCTTTCTTGCAAAACTTTTTGAAACAGAGTTAGAAATCCTGCTAATATATCAGGTGATTATGATGTATGATAGCCATTATCAATAATTCTTGACCTGTAATGCAACTTATATTATTTTTGATGCATTTTGTTCTCAATTTGATTTTTGTTTCTTTAAAAAAAACTGATGTGTAGAATCAGACATATATAGTGAACAAAAAATGAATAAGAAATTGCATTTATGTATTTTTGTTGCTTAATGTTTTACCAATGATACAGCTTAAAATTCCCATTAGAACATGTATAGTTATGTTTTTATGTTGGAATGCTCAAAGAAGAAAAAACATTTTATTTTAAAAAACTTATTTCATGATTCAGGCTGTACAGGTTTAATTCTTGTTAGGGATGCAACTAACGATTGTTTTGCAAATCGGTTGATCTTTTGATTATTTATTTCTGATTAATTGATTAATAATAGGATAGCCAAAGGTTCCTTAAGGAAGTCTTTTAACGAAATCAAAAACCAGCTGAAACTAAAACCTTTCCACTTGAGTAGTTCTGGATAGAGCAGATTGAAAAAAATTTTTTTTTTCAATTTTAAATGCAAAATGTTTATATAATCTTTATTACAATTTTTATATAATTACTGCTCTAAGTTGGTTGCTCTGTCAGCTATAGGCATGTTTTACAGTCTCTATACTCCAGTTAACGAATAATCGATTACTGAATTAGTTGACGATTATTTCAATAATCGATTAATCACGATTAGTCCGATTGTTTCAGCCCTATACTTTCTACATTCTTAGACATACATTCTTTACTTTTTTACCCATAAAATCAGTCATGTCAATTTGTTGGAGAAAGATATAAGAAAAAGCTGCTGGACCAGGATTCCAAAGTGAACACAGACGCATTTTCTGTCGTAAACAGAGTTTTCCATAGTGTTGTGTTTTAGATCACTGCCTGCCATGTGGGGGACACGGGTTACACAGGAAGGGCATCCGGCATAAAACTCGCTGCGACGACCCATGAATAAGAGAGCAGCTGAAAGGTCACAAACAAATTCCATGGTCTTTGGTAGCAGCCTGTTATGCAACATCTTACCTTGGCAATATGTCCAGCTAGCACTCTGTAAAGGTATACATTTTTTATGACGCCTCTCATCCACGGCCCTTTTTAAGTGGTCCTTAGATTTTCTGTCTGATTTATTTCTTAACATGGGTTAGGCTAGTTTGTCTGCTGCACCAAAGCTTTGATTGAATGCTAAAAATAAAACCACCTCTCATCTTCAGCTTTCTAGCAGAAACTAACCTATTAAGAAAGTTTTGGTTTCATTATCCTTTTGTGGGAAAAAACAAACAAAAACAACACACACACACAGCATGACATTGCATTGACGTTGTTTCACTGTGAAGCTGTATTCTATTTGGGATATGCAGTAATCTTTTAAATTAAAACGCAACATTTGCAAATATGGCACAAAAGAAACTGTTTTGGTTTTGTCAGCATAACTAAATTTCCAAGTACAGGGGTGTTCACACAGCAAGATAATCATGCCAATTTTAAGAGTTTCTGATAGTGGGAGCTCTCGGGCCCCATAATTAGGGAGGTTGAACTGCCTTGTCTGTTGTGTCAAAAATGGTCAGGTCTACTTGGAGGAATGCTGGGACCCCTCAGGTTGCAAATCAGGAATATCCAACATGTTGAAGTGTCTTGGACTGATATCCTACTGTGTATGATGCCGTCATCACACACGGTAGGACACAACATCCTAGATTAATATCTCTTCATAATGAGCAGTGTCAGTGAACAGCCCTGCTCTGCTTTAATCTGCATCAGTGTCTGCAGGGGTTGAACCTTTATTCCCATAATGTTGGAACCAAGACCTGTTTTACCTGCAATTATCCCCATTTAAACCGACCAGTAATCACTAGAGCACAACCCAAGCTGTGATCCCAATGTATAAAGAGAGATACAAATTTTCATTAAGTGCTTTTAGTCGTGAAGTGTTTTATTTTCATAGATTCAGTGGAATTGTCTTAACAGAAGTGCAAGATCGTTGTCTGATGCACATGCCAGTGCGAGCTATGTTCAGCGGTAAACAATCCGAACCCAGAAGGGTCCTTTCTTTGTTTTTAAAAAAACAATCGCACACTCCCACCTGAGTGCTTTCAATACATGAATCAGAGCAAACCTCTTTTGAAAGATCTGTTCAAGAAAACGTTGAATTAAACAAAGCCCAAAAACGTGCAACGTAAATATTTCAGCAGCATTTAGCTTCCGTTTATCTCATTTTTGAACTGTGCTGTTTATTCACTGATATTACTGTTAAGTTTGTTGTGTAGAAAAAAAAATGATGTTTTCAGTCACTACCTGCTTTAGGCTGCATTATCCTTTCCTCTTTCACAAATTTAACAGATGGGAAGTCTGTTTTGCTATCTAAATGCTGGTGTTAAACCAGGATGGCAAATTCATCATACGCAATCAGTGTAGGGTTCAAAAGCCTTTTTTATTATCTTTATAACAGACCAAAACATCCAAAGCATTCTTTCTTTAATGTCTACAAATTACTGTGAGCTGCATCGTTGGAGGTTTAAAAAAATATCCATTATATGGTCATAATTCTATTCACTCATTAAGAAGTAGAGTAGAATGATAGTGATATATAGATCATTGTCATTCTTGCTGTAACAGTTTTTGTGCAACCCACTAGCTTTCTGTTTTTTTAGATATAATAAAATTCTATTTTCTATCATTTGCCGAACCTAACTAATTTGGCCTGCTGTGGGGCTGGAAAGAGCACGTTGTTTGACCAAAACTGTTTTTTTTTGTGTGTGTGTGTGTCTTAAGTTTTGAAAATCAGCCAAAAATGTTAAAATCTTGCCGTGTGAACCAGACAAATGTTAAACAAGCTCTTAGGATGGTATGGTATTTAAAAGGCAAGGCTGTCTTCCAACCCTACTACTTGGCCTGGCAGATGGAAAACACAGGGGATCATTGCCGTATAGAACACAATCACGACTCGCCAGCAAGTTCAGCAGCTCCTTTATTTTGCTGTTTCCTCCTGGCAGCCTTCCTCCTAGTTTCAGTCTTAATTCAAATCCTGTCTGTCTTATCAGTTAATAAAGATTGTCAAGTCTGAGTTGGGACACTGTGATCTCCTATTTTCTGTAATTATTGCCTTCCATCTGCTAAGTATCCATCCATCCATCCATCCATTTTTTTGACATCCCAAGGTCGCAAAGGGTGCTGGTGCCTATCTCCAGCTGTCTACGGGCGAGAGGGGGGTACACCCTGCACAGGTCGCCTGTCCATCGGAGGGCAACACAGAGACAAACAGGACAAACAACCGTCCACGCACACACTCACCCCAAAGGAGAATTTAGAGAAGCCAATTAACCTAACAGTCATGTTTTTGGACTGTGAGAGGAAGCCGGAGTACCCGGAGAGAACCCACACATGCTCAGGGAGAACATGCAAGCTCTATGCAGAAAGACCCTGGGCCGGGAATCGAACCCGCAAGGCAAGAATGAAAAATTGCTGCGCCACTGAGCAGCCTATCTGCTAAGTATATAAAACTAATTGTAGGGATTTAAATTTGGTTTTGTTTTTCTGAATGATATGTTTGTACAAAGAAACTTTTAACACTTTTAATATCCGTATATACATATTGTTAAAAGATGTATCAGAGTTGTCATAGAGACTGTTGGTTATGTAGTGGACAACAAAAAAAGAGAAAAGTGGATGAGTTCAAAGACATGCAGTTAAATGTAAAGTGCTCCTATTCTTTTCGAAACAGCAAACAGTTTTATTAGGTTAAAGCAGGACTCATGTAATCGGCAAGCAAAGGCTTTAAATAGAAATTCTATATCTTACCTTATTGTCAGATGTTATTTCTATTTGCATTATCCATATTTTATTTTTTCCTAAAGCTGCAAAGCCATTTTTTACATAAATGAGACAGCTGGTCTGTTCTCTGATGACCTGTCTTGGCAAGTCAGAGGTGTGCTGGCTTTTATCCCCCTCGCCCTATCAGTCCTTTCACAAAAAACATTGAGACTCAAAAAGACACACTTCATTATGCATTGAATGGAGTGAAAGAAACTTATGCTGATTATGAAAAGGGATTTTAATAGTAAGTTTGTGCTTTATTTTTGCATAGTTATACAATACACTAAAAGAGGCCGATCAGATAGCAAAGTATAAATAAAATAATGTAGAGCAGCGGTTCTAATTCTAAGAGTAAGGAGGTAAGCTTATCATTACAAATAATTGCAAAAACTGCTTTTAATTGCTCTATTATTTGTTTTGAGTTGGATCAGTCTACCCCATCCCATGTACCGTGGTTTAGTTTGGAAAATAAAGTACATTTCATATCAATGCAATGAGTTGTAAATGTTGAGAATCAAGCAGAAAAAACGTTAAAACGAACACAATATAAACCAAATTCTTGAAGTTGAATATCCAAATTAGCTCACTCATAATATCACACGCCCATGGTGTGGGGTGTGTTTTCTTTTGAATGTGAGTGACCCATATGAAGTTGAGAAATTTTAGAAAGAGCCTCCTTTTTATCATTCTGTTTTTATTTCTGGTTGTTGAGCTACAATACCAGATTATTAATGAAGGAGAAAAGAAACCGACCTGAATATCCAAACAGCCAATTTCCACATAATTGAATTCATGAAACATAATAAATCGGCCTGCAGCATCTGGGGCTCTACAAGCTTACACATTAACCACCAACATCTGCTGTTAATTTCAGAAAGAAAAAACACATTTTTACTGCATACATATAACTCTATTAACATAGGAAACCTTACTATTTTTTCCTTTATTAGCCTTTAAAAGAGGAAAATAAATTCTTGCTTCCTATGAGAAACTGTGCTGCCTGCCTTTTTGTGTTTAACTTTAGCTACATTAACTATACATGTCCAAATGAGTATAAATAAGGGACAATGAAACACTCCGTCAGTTTGAAAGGAGAAGGACAGAATCACGACAAACCCATGTTGTCATTATATCCCTGCAGGGTGACAGGCGGAGAGCTGTTTGAGGACATCGTAGCCAGAGAGTACTACAGTGAAGCTGATGCCAGGTAGCACCCACGTCCCCCCAAACTGACACACTCTAACACACACACACACCGACACTGTCCAAGAGACACACTCTGCTGAGCATAGCAGTCATAATGCATCTTTGTCTGCTATAGTAAGGAACCTTAGGTGTGTGTATGAGGCAATGTTTGCGTGTTCACATATGGCCGTCCCAGAGGTATGGTACAGCGGCCTTATCTCTGAGGCATCTCTCTAGGTTATTTATACGAATGATTAATGACATAAAGCTTGCAGAATTAATCATGACCAACCTAACTTACATTTCCATTTTGGTGCTGGAAGTTCATCTCCCAAGTGAAACACGAAGAGAGAGTCTGTATGTGTGTTGTCTTATTTGCATACAGGCCATACAGCTTTAGTGTTATAATGTAGTTCCATGGATAAAATGTGACGTCATTTTACCTGCCGTCTGTCTGGGAAAATGAAATGGGAGAAAGCAGGGTGTACATTGTAATGAAATTATTATCCCTCTTCTTTTTTTTTTTTACTGCTTCCCCTCACCCGACGTACCTTCCTCTCTCACTATGAACTTTTACTTCCCTTCACAAACCTTTTCACCTTCTTTCCTCAGCCACTGCATACAGCAGATCTTGGAGAGCGTCCACCACTGCCACGTTAATGGGATTGTTCACAGGGATCTGAAGGTTTGTATGACAAAAACCAGTGCTGAGAACTCGGATGACATGAAGTAGAGTACAAAATGTACATAAATTGTTTATTTTTTCTTTTTATTTACTTTTAACATAGTCTTAGCCAATTCCGATTCTTCTTATCGAAATCTAATATGGGAACATTTTAAAAGTAGCATTCACAATACAGTTGTATTGAGTCTTTCTGGTCTAGCTGATGAGGATCTCACTAAATTATCACAATATCTCTGTATTTAGTATGTGACCTGTATCCCAAAGGACTGCAATGATTTTTAGGGCAATACATTTGAATACAATGCTTTCATGTGACATATTTTTTATGACATGAAAACACAAAGAGGTAGTTGGTTTATCATATCATTAAAAAAACTACTTTTAATTTCTTTTAGAGCCACTTGTCCAATAAAGTCTTGTTCTAAAAATGTTACAGGTAATTCTTTGTTTTGTAGCCTGATACTGGACGATTGATAACTAGGTCACTCTTTGCTATACACCCAAACAAATACGTTTTCTCAGTTACTCAAAGTATAGATATTGACTCAATACGATATTAGCACAAATCATAAATGCTTTTAGTATTCATTTTGTGCTTAAGAATATTAGTAAAGGCTTGATAGTGATATTGCTACTACAGAGAGCTATTGTAAACAACCATAGCTATGAGAACAATATGAGAATAATATTAACCAATGGGTTCCAGAAATGATAAACAGAAACAAAGCATTTTTATAACCATGCCAATTTTGGAGATTTTAGATGAAGGCCGATATAGAATCTGATATTTGTTTTTTTGCTAATAGATCTGATGTCGCCATTCCTCCTCTACTTTCTTAAAAATCCATCATGCTAATGTCAATGATCCTCTTCTCATTGATTATTTTATATATTATTGAGAACTGTATTTTTTTGCATCCTTGTGTAGTGCAGTAGTGGTTGGGGGAAAATAAATCATTAAGAATCAGAAAAATCAAAAATATGTCTGGTCATATTACAATGCAATCTAAGGGGAACAGAGTGAGGTTATTAACACTTGTAACATTTTCAATCTAGTTGGAAATGATGGCCTTTTAGATCTCTCTTAATCTCAGGATTTTTCTTTACTGTCATGGAAATCTGTGTGTTGATATGACTGCCTGTTCCTGATGAGCTGTACGTCTGCCATAAATCTCAGCTTTGAAGGCTGTCTGTGTTTGGAGCCTGTAAATGTTAACAAATGTATTATTCATTAGAGTGTGCTGTCTCACTGGCCTTAGGTTGGCAAAGACCGTTCTGCACCCTTCTATATACATGCTTGTGTGTGTTCCAGAAAGTGTGTGTACATGTGCAGGATGTTGGCTCAAAAAATCCTTGATTCTGCTAAACTGTGCCAGCATCCAATGTTCTTAGTTTTCATATATATATATATATATATATATATATATATATATATATATATATATATATATAAACACACACACCTAATCCATCCATCTTCTCCAGCTTTGGTGCCTATCTCTGGCAGTCTATGGGCAAGAGGCAGGGTATACCCTCGATATGTTGCACAGTACATGTATGTATGTATGTATGTATGTATGTGTGTATATATATATATATTAGTGCTGTCAAAATTATCGTGTTATTATCGCGTTAACGCGAGGCCATTTTAAAGGCGATAATTTTTTTAACGTGAGATTAACGCTATGTGGTTTTATGGTACAATTTTCCAAGTACATCCCGCTGCAGCCTGCGGGAAGGCGGGGNACACACACAGCCCTCTATATTACATGTTTTCACACCTCCTCTTACCCCACTCCGTCTTCTGTATCTGTCTTTCCTCACTGGGCTTTGTTCCCTCTCACGGATTTATGTGTGACATTATAGATGAAAACACTTGCTTTTCACCAAGCTCCTCTTTTTGAATCCGTGAAGCTTCAGGAGACAAGTCTGTTGTTCCAGCACACAAAATGTCTGTGGTCACCCTGAGAGTCAGTCCTGTTCCATTTGTTTCTCTGTCATCTGTGTGGCAGAAAGGGAGTTGCCTCAGACACTGATTTAAGAGCAGTTTAGTGTCACTTATACCTAATGGCTTTGATTAGGCGTTGGTTTGGCTAATCTGATTTTAGATCTGTGTCTGTGGGCAGCATGATCCCTGTGCGTCTGACCTCTCACCTCTAACCTGTTTGACTCCGCCCCCCCCAGCCTGAGAACCTTCTGTTGGCCAGTAAGCTGAAGGGGGCGGCGGTCAAGTTGGCTGACTTTGGGCTGGCTATCGAGGTACAGGGGGACCAACAGGCATGGTTTGGTGAGTATTCAGTCATCTGTTTCTCCATTCTTAACATTAAGGCAAATGTATTGTCATCTAATTAGTTATTTGAATACATTGAAAATATTCTCTGAATATCAGAAGCATATGAAAACTATTAAAAGCCATTCCAAGGTGGGAATGGAGCCATGAATCAGAGATTTAGTTTCAAGTTGATAAGTCACATTGGGACTTCAGCCCTGAGGGTCTTAGGAGTAAATTCCGCCTGAAATTACATATGTGATTTAAAGCAAGTACTGCTCCCAAACTATAGATTGAAAATAAAATTGTTTTGTATTTATATGACTGAAAGGCAATATTTTTCAGGTGAAACCGCTATTTTAAATGTCACCATGTTTGGTTTATAGGTGATTACACAAAGAAAAATGACAAAAATTTTGCCTCGCCAAATTTTTTTTTTCCAATATAAACTCTACAAAACACCATGAAGCTCCATTTGAACTTCTGAATGAACCCTCAGACTTTATAGATCCACATCTTGACTTTAACTCAAGCAAATATGGACTGAATAAGTTGAAGCATTTTAATTGTTCCAAAAATTTTTAGTGGGCAGTGTGCTAGGTGGAAATGTGATTTTGACACAATGCCAAAAGTGCAAAAATTCATTTTTCTACTCATAAAAGGGAATCTGGCCAGACAAATATGCTGATTTACATTATTGGAGACCCTCTGCATAAGAAAAAGCCTTGTGTTTTGGCCATTTCTATAAATAGATAAACAGGTGTCAGTTGGGCCAGATACCGGGCCTGTTGGGCTTGAGGGGTTCAGGCTCAAAATTTAAGCAAGACTTAAAGTCAGGGACTCATATTTCATAATAAATTGTTATGCATGCAAACCAAAGACCACAGCTCTGACACAGATTTTAACATTTTCCTGTAAAATTTGATGATAATCTGTGCAGTTTTTAGATCATACTCTAATAATTGGTGAGAACAGTTTGTCACTCTTATCTTTATTAAAATTAATGATCAACAACTGAAAGGAGTAATGAAACATTCTATTTAATGCAATTACTAAAAAATAAGAATTAATCTCTATTCTGCTGTCACATTAGTATAACTGTAAAAGATAATAAAAAAATAAAACCGTTTGCTATTATACTGCATGAAATCTCTCCGGTTGACGTACAGTAATACATAATACAATACAAAACTTTAATAATTTAAAGTATACATTGTTTAATGTGTAGATACACCCTTTGCAGAGTGAGGAAAATGATATCTTCCAACCATACATAAAGCATTCACTGTATAGCAAATAAGTGGAATCTTTGACTACTGCTATCATGGAGTGCTGACTACACTATGTCAATATGAAGATACGTCTGGTTCTTCAGAATTAAAGCATTTGCTATCGGATGCATTTGAAGACTGAAATCAAAACGTTTGAATCCATGTTCTAAGCGTGTGTCATGAAGACTTCTTTCACAGTTCATATAACAATATAAACAATAATATTTAGTCTCATTTTAGCTGTCCTCTGTCTCCTTTTTTAAATTTATAAATATTTGTGAATATTAAACTATTTTGACATCAGACACACCAACCTGGCATTAAATCAAATTGATCAAAGTCTATTACGGAAAGACAAATAAATATCAAGAAATAAGTCAAATAGAATGTAGTCTATAATATAGTAAAATTCAACACCTTGTGAACTTAACACTAACATCTATCTGCCTGGAAATGTTATAAGACCATTTACTATGCCTTGGGGCTCCAGCAAAGCACAATGAGAGGCATTACCCACAAATTGAGAAAACTTGAAAGTGGTGGACCTTCCAAGTAGAGGCCAGTCAGCCAAAATTACTCAAAAGTCTATTAAGAACTGACTGAGAGATTTATAAAAGAACCCAGAAGATCAGTAAATCAAAACCAGTCCGGGTCTTACTTTCTCGGTTTATTTCATTGTTCACAATTCAACAATAAGCAAGAAAGAAGTGGGAAAAAAATGCTCCACTGGGAGAAATATATGGTAAAAACTACTGATGACCAAAAAGAATACACAGGCCAATATTACATTTGCCATACAAGATCTAGATTATCCCCTCTGCAGACTGATGAGGGATAGCAGGTTTATTAGTGTTGGACCATTACACAGGTTTGTACAAAGTGCTTTATATAAACACTAAGGAACAATGATAAGGCTCATTAAAACGCCAAATACATGAAATGAAAAGAAGCACAAATCTAAGCAGCACATAAAGAAGAATTTGCACAAATTTATAATAAAGAGACATGATAGAAATATGGTTATGACCTTCATAGGAAATCTGCACTTAATAGTTTAGTTTTCAGTCTTGATGAAGGGAGTCAAGGTTTTATTTTTACTTTTTCTTTTGGATATCCCAGATTTCAGGGAGTTGCTTCCAATGCTGAGACGGACATAAGCTTAATATCTCTTCCACCTGTTTAGTTCTGGTCCTCGGATCACTGGATGAGCCAGGTGTCTGTGACTCATACCTGTTTCTAAAATGTGGCTGAGGTCCATCACTGTTCAGGGCTTCCTTCTGTTGGCCAATAGGAAGATTTCTATCCGTTTGAGACTGATAGCTGGTGCACGACTATAAGGACTATTGTGATATGATGCGTTTATGTTGGGTGCTGCTACCTTTTTTTTATTTTATTTTATGAATAGAGATACCTATACTAATATAATAATGAAAGTCCTTTTCTGAATGACCTAAAATAAGGAAGGTTTAACAGTGGCTTACTCAAAATCAATGCTTAAATCGTATTTGGATTATGCGGAATAACATTAAATAGGCTGTTCATGCTCAAATCCCAATTTTATAATTAAGACCGAGTATAAAATCCCTTTGATAAATGAAAAATACTCATTGCCAGGTATCATTAGAAATACACGATAGAAGGTTCACATAAGGCTATACAGGTTTGGGTGACGTTTAGATTATAATTGAAAACAAAAACAACAGATTTTGTATTTGTACGAGTTATCTTTAGTCTGATATAAAAAATTTGTACAATGTACACATTTCAGAACAAATTAATAAAAACAAACAAAAAAACATAATTTAAAAATGTAAAAAGTAAATCAAATATACATAAAAATTACAGATATAATAAAAACACCAACATATGCATTTTAGAGTTGTTGGAGCTACAAACACATCTAAATACTCCTCACATTCATATTTACATAATGCACCGTAATTGATCTTTTATGGTGCATTATTTAACTAACCATTATGAATTTAAGTTCCACTGCAATAATATTTATATGACATATTAACACATACAATATAAATTGATAGTAATAATTTGATGTATGTTACTTATATTACATAGTATGTTTACAATGCCAGAGATTGGGACCAAATAATTTCTCTACACCTTTTATTTATATTGATGAATATTTGGACACATATTTTTTTTTTTTTCTGGTGGTGCTCATGCCTCGGGTCTTAAAGTCACCACATCCCCTCCGTTTGAAAATCACTTTTCTATGTTTAAAGAGCTTTTGGATATCATTTGGTAGTGTATTTTTATTGGCCTAATATAGATGTTATGCAATAAAAAAATCTACTTAAAAAAACTGTTTCCTGACATAGAATTCTTTAAAACAGATTTTGTCCCTTTTCCTCTTTTGTGAAAAACTAAATAGTTCCCAGGAATTTAAACTCATCACAGTGAATTTCCCCTTAGGTCTTATTCTATCCAACTAAAACAAGGCTGCAGCCAAAGATGAAACTTTCCAAACAGATGTCTTCAATCCCAGTCCATTCCCACACACAGTGATTAGTCCAATCATTTTCATGATGTTTTTACATACCATTGTAGTAATTGATTATAATTTTCTCGACATCTTAACCCTGCAGGTTTTGCCGGCACCCCTGGGTACTTATCCCCAGAGGTTTTGAGAAAAGACCCTTATGGGAAACCAGTGGATATGTGGGCTTGTGGTAAACAATTCCCTTTTACTTTAATTACATTTGATGATGCATTTCGTATTATTATCCATGTTTAATTGCAGATTAAATTATCTTTATAATAGCTTTTTAAATAATAACGACAATAACCATTACAATGGCTTTTATTCACATTATGCCTATTTTAGGCGTGATTTTGTACATCCTGCTGGTGGGCTACCCTCCATTTTGGGATGAAGATCAACATCGCCTGTACCAACAAATCAAGGCGGGGGCCTATGATGTAAGTGTTCACACAAGTACTTCTACAGCTTGAAAAGCCAATGCAAAAAGGGTATTTGTATACATTTCCATGTACATACTGATGTGCTCATACACTGGCTAAACTGAAAATTGATGTGCAGTGCTTTGCAAGTTTAAATAGTTCTGAACACTGTTCACCCAGTAACTGTGAAATTAATCCTTGTTTGTTGAAATTTTTGGAATGTAAAATTAAGACCCATAAATTAAAGATCGTTTTTAACAATAACATGTCTCACAAAAATGCTTTTGACTGTTTGTATATATTCGGCTGTATTTAGAATACATTTCAACTCTGTCATTACACTGTCACAAGTACAGAGCAATGAAATGTAGTTTGCATCTATCCAGAAGTGCTATACAGGATATAAATATTTATTTACATATGTAAACCAAATAGCAGATTCTAGACAGACACTGAGCCTCTCGTTGTTCACACACCACCATCTTGTCATTATATTTCGATATTTGTTATATTTATTATATTATTGAAACAAAACCAAGAAAGAAACAGTGTTTGTGTGTGCTAGGTTTTTACATTTTTCCGCTTCTTTTATGTCCCATGTTGTCACATATGCTGTAGCTCATTTCAAAAACTCTTTTGGTTTCCCTCTTGGCAAGTAATACAGCCTGAAAATGTTGCTATGATGCAGCATATTAAAGTATACTATAAGTTTTCGAAAAAAAAACCCTAACTCAACATTTGTCCATGCTAAACCGTGTTACAGGTAACACTTTTGCTTTACAACACAAGGGTTCTGGGTTCTAGTGTTTGGCAGGACTTCTATTCATTGTTTTTTTAAGAATCCTGAGTTTTATCAGCACAATCTGGTTTACTCCTAAAATCCCCAAATTAGCATTTTTTTGTTGATTGGTCCCTCCAAATTGCCCTGAGGTATGATTGTGCACATAGTTGTTCTCTCGACTTCTGTTCTGCCCTGGGATTGTTGGAGATGAACACTAGCTGCTCCCTATGCTGTGAGGATTATTCATGTATAACAAAAACGTTATTATTTGACAGATGAAACCCGGATTTTTGTGTAAATGTGTTTTTCTCAGGATTGTTTCCTTCTTATCTTTGCAACTTTGCTTCTAATGCTTATTTTGGTCTATCCTCTTGGGATGGATTGGATTTGAACTATGCACAGTCAAATTTCCTCAGATAATTAAACCCTGTTGTGTAAGTTCAAAGCCACAAAGAAACCTCCTCATGAACAGGCTCAATAATGATAACATACACATGCTTTTCCCCTTATTTTTTCCCTGATTTAATCGACTTATTTTACTACTCAGAATCTAGGGATAGAACAGCAAAGCCAGTTATTGTCAGGCTTAATGACCAAGGTCCTGTTCTCTATTATAAAAATTGAAGAAAATAATTATTTAGTTTTAGTTTTTTAAATTGGATATTTCAATTGCCAATAACTTCCCAAACTAATAATCTTGATTTAATAAAGAAGAGCTTAGAAGTTCATCAAAAGTGTATTTTCTGTGTAAAATAAACTCAGTTCTAGGGTGTCTTTCTATTGATATAATCTAACTTCATATTGAAAGTTTATCTATTGTTTTTACCGAGTATGGCACAAGTAAATAATCAAATCTAAAATCCTTTTGAGCATTGCTAACAAATCTAAGCACCATAATGTCCTTGCTCTGTACCTCTGAGCCTGTGATTGGTGGGTGAAATTTTCAGAAACTGTGACTTTGTATTTTAGATCCTATGTCCCTGTATGAATTTGATGGAGGGATTATTGATAATTGACCTTAAAACTCACTAAATAGTTGGTTTCACTGCAATTCTTTAGTAAAAATACGGTTATTTTTTTGTATTTATTGCATTCTTAAGGTTATATACCATTTTAGAACAAAAAATTCAAGAAAGCAAGGTTGATTTGTTTATTTCTAGATCTTTCTATTGCTCTATATAATTCATATATAAATGTGACATTTTCATCTGTATATGAAAGTTGGCTGAGAAGGCCCTGCTGACTTGCATTCGCTGCTTATTGTTTTATTATTAATTTATTATTAATTAATTTTTTTTATTAATTTCTTATTACAGTTTCCATCCCCAGAGTGGGACACTGTAACACCTGAGGCCAAAGATCTCATTAATAAGATGCTGACGATCAACCCCAGTAAGCGCATCACTGCTGCTGAGGCCCTCAAACACCCCTGGATCTGTGTATGTTATAAACGTTCATACGTGACGGAATAAACATACACATTTTAATTCAGTTAAAGTACTGTCCTCACCCTTCTCTATCTTACTTTTTTTTTTCTTGCAGCAACGGTCCACTGTTGCTTCCATGATGCACAGGCAGGAGACTGTGGAGTGCCTGAAGAAGTTTAATGCCAGGAGGAAACTCAAGGTGATACTTCAGTCAAACCACATTCCTTTATTTTTTCTGAGTTTTTCATCTTCTTTTCCCCCAGATGTCTTACAGTAACATCATAATAATAACTTGTCTGCGAATCCCTTGCACTGCTCTGTAGCTAAGCATGACTTTTCTTGCTGCGACTTTCTAATCAATCTTCTTCTTATCTTGTTTTTGTCCATCCTCATTTCCCTCCTCCTGACCCCTTTCTGCTGTAACTGCAGGGAGCAATATTGACCACTTTGCTGGTCACAAGAAACTTCTCAGGTATGTTTTTCTCAGCCTGATTCCCAAAAACTGGTTTCTGACCTGTATCGTAGACATTAAGCATATTTTTTTTACTCCAGCAGGGCTGATTGTTACAGAAAGTAGGGTTTTCACATACCTAGTGTTAATTTTTCACAGTTAGCTTTCGATTCACCAAAGCATCTGTAAAACAGTGGAGTTTTTAACTTTAATGCATGCCTGCCCTGGAATTTTCTTTTCTTTATGGAGCACAGATGCTAGAGCCAACGGGCCAGTGTTAAACAGATTCATCCCTCTTTATCTCTCCAAATATTGCTCTGTCACTCTTCTCCTGCTTCAAAGCATTCTCTTTCGCATGTATTTTTTTGACCTGTCACTAATATAAACACTAATATTCTGGGGTTTATTGACCCACTTTTGCTTTCCATTTTTTTGCAGTAAATTGCATCCACACATTTGTCTCTTTTTATATTCATTATTTTCCTTCCTTTTTCAATTTATTTCCTTTTCTGTGTTTGGATTGTGGTATCCATTTGAGGTAAGATATTTGGGATGATGAGCATATGTGTGGGGACGGATCCAAATGATAGGTTTTTCATGTTTAGGCTCTCCTTTGTTCCTAATGGCCTGTGAAGCATGCAAAGAGACTTTTTTGGAATTCTTCCTCAAAAAAAACAAACCTATATGACCTTGCATCTTGTATGTACCATGACATACAGCATGCTTTTTGAATGCATAAAAAAAAAAAATAGAATAAAACAAATAGGGGTACTTTTTAGAACAAAAGGTGTTATCAAATAGAGGTGCACCGATCACGCATTTGTGGCCAGTTCATGATTTTAAATTCTATATCTGTTCCGCTCATACAGATTCTTAAGAAACCCTCCTATTTATCTTAAAGGGTTCATTATTAAAAGGAATAATGAAAATAAAGTTTGTCTAAGATTTAAATGTTTTAAGTAATTCTTTTAATTAATGGTCACTAATTTATAATGTTTCATTAATGTTTTACAACAAGCAAAAATGTATTGTCTGTTTGGAATTTCTGGCTAATAGTTATTAGCACAACTAACTCTAAACATAAGCCTCTTTCTGTTTTTCCTTGGTATTTAAGACCCTTACCTTAACTCGGATATTTCCAAAATGTGGGCAACATTTCTATACATAGAATTTTCTCTAACAGAGAATTTAAAGAGCTCAAAATAATAAAATATACCTATGGTGCAAATGTTTAAATATATTCATGTTATTGTCATCAGCCAACGTTTGGTGTGGATCAGTTTCTTTAGTTTGTTGTTCAATAAAACTTGGTCACAGCCATGTTTGGTGGCAAACCGCTGCATTATGCCCCCACTACCAGCGGTAAAGGGCAAAAGGATCAAAACTTCTGATCAGTGTAGAAGCCTGATTCCCTCTAAATAATTTCTGAAAGTTTGCACTGTTGTGCTTCCGCTCTGTTGCTGTGAGCTCTGCCTGGTTAGTATTTAAATTGCCAGCCAAAGTCTCGGTGCATCTCTAGTTTTAATGTGTAGGGATCTGGTGCATGTGTATGTCACTTAAAAATGTGTAAGTCTTCAGATTTTTAAATCCTCCATCTTTTTTCCTCAAGTAATACAGTACACCCAGTTACAACCTTCCCTTCCGTCCCTTACATATGAATATGTGTATAATATGATAACTGCTTTGCATAAATAATATTGTTATAAGAGGTAATTTTGTATAAATTTATAGATCACAAGGTTGTATTTTGACATGTTGATTATAAAGCTGAGGGCTGTGATTGAATATGCCTGCTGCATGTTAGTTACATCTCAAGTGAACAACTGCTTTATGAGCCTACTTACTGAACCATTTTCTTTTCTTTCCTGCAGCAGCCAAAAGTTTGCTAAACAAGAAACCAGATGGTGTCAAGGTAAGTTGAAGAGGCCAGTAACCCTTTTTCCCTTCCTCCATTGTTTCAAATTGGATGTTGAATATTGCCAGGGCCTTTTGCCTTTAATTAATCAATGTGCACTGGTTACATCATTCCAGGACAGGCAGTCTAAATTATGAAAGTGATTTTATAGCCAGATTTTGACCACATACAGTATCTGAATTTGATATTTAGTTTATTTTAATCATTCATTTGTTTACTCCTATGTATGTTTCCTAATCTTACCAAGTTGCATGTGTTTTAGAGTCATTATGATCTTTAAGGTCTCTGTTGTTCATTGCTCAGTTTCTATGATATTTAAGAACCAATCTAAAATTCAACACCACAGAGACACATGTGCTGATATCAGTGCAAGTTTCACCGATTTCTTAAGAGCTTCCTCCTAGAAACTGCCTATTTTTGCGTTGTTTTCTTTTTTAAAATAACAATAGGTGTTCATTTTAGATTGGATTTTTTTCATGCTTTGAAATTGGGTCACTGTGTTTGGCACTTATGTTTATCATACTGTCTCTTACTGTTCCACATGCGCTGGCTTATTTAAATCTTTTTATATAAGCCCAGACATGGATAAATATTTAAACATTTTTAAAACATTATGTCTTATATCATATCCGGTGTCTGTTTAGGTAATGATGTGTTAGTAAGTATTTTCTTCCCCATGTGAGACTAAATTTCTGGGCAGCTGGTTTGAACCGTTCAAGCTCTGGAGAAAAGCAGTTTTTTCTTGAAAATCCTTTCAGAATATTTAAAGTAAAGGGTCTTACAAGGAGCTTTTGGGTTGTAAATGTTTTCTATTGGTCACATGTTTTTTTCTCAGGGCAAAAATGTGCACCCCAGCTGGTGGCTAACATGTTTTCATTGACTATCGTTTTACTAAAGAAGCTCAGATTGAGATTCTCTGGAACTGTCCTCCTAACTCCTGAAATAACAGGCAGTAGGGAGAGTTTCCTGTGAAATCCCGGCCCGTATGGTGAACCCTGAGTAGTCATTTTTTTGTTGAGCAGTTTTTTAACAGTTTTCAGTCCAAGTTTTTTTTACTCATCAGAACCTATTTAGATTCTGTTTATATAAATAAATAAATAAATATATATATATATATATATAT